GTCATCCATTCATCATCCATCTATCCATCCATCCATCCATCCATTCATCATCCATCCATCATCTATCCATCCATCCATTCATCCATCCATCATTCATCATCCATCCATCCATTCATCCATCCATCCATCCATCCATCATCCATCTATTCATCCATCCATCCATCATCAGTCCGTCCATCATCCGTCCATCATCCATCCATCCATCATCTATCATCCATCGTCCATCATCCATCCATCATCCATCCATTTATCCATCCATCCATTCGTCCATCCATCCAAACATTATGTAACTGTTTCATATATTTTATATATTTGTTTTTTATATATTTTGTGGGTGTGTGTGTTCTGTCAGGCGCGGTTCTCTGGTGCCTGCATGAACCCGGCACGTTCCCTGGGTCCTGCCATCATCATGGGCTTCTGGGAGAACCACTGGGTGAGAGAGAGAACGCCGTCACCCACTCCTGATTGGACTCCACACGTCACACTGTGTCTCACCCTCTCTCTCTCTCTCTCTCTCTCTCTCTCTCTCTCTGATTGGCCGTCCTGCAGGTCTACTGGATCGGACCGGTGCTGGGCGGCGTTCTGGCCGCGGTGTGCCACGAGTTCTTGTTTGCGCGCAGCGCGTCCCGTCAGAAGCTGGTGGCGTGTCTGACCTGTAAAGACATCGGGATCGTGGAGACGGCCAGTATCACGGGGTCGTCCCTGTCCACCGTCACACAGAACGCCACCAGAGGCAAACAGACGAACAGGACGGACAACAACTGAGAACAGGTGGACACACACACACACACACACACACACCCCCGACACCCCCCCGCCCTCACCTGTTACCTGCTGGGACAGTAGACCACAGAGGTAGAATAATAATGAAGAAATATTTTAAAAATTGTAAATTAAAAAAAAATTATTAAAAATAATTGCCGGTCTTTGGGGGCGTCACCAGATTACACACATTTCAACTTTAAAACTACAATTTTTTTGATCTGTTTATAAACCGATCAGATCGAGTTTTATTCTGTTTTGTTTCTGCCTTTGTTCAACCCCTCGTGGACAGAGAGCCGTATCTGAAGTGGCTCCTTTAAAGTCCCAGCGGCCTGTCATCAGCAGCCGTGGAAATCCGAAGGCGCACTTTTGTTTCTTTGAAATCTGCACGTCATTACAAAAGATAATAGAGACTCATTGAAAAACACGCTCCCGTTCTCCTGTGTCCACCGCCTCATTCATTTGAAATGCTAAACGAGCGTCCGTCCGTCCGTCCGTCCGTCCGTCCGTCCTCCTCCACCGCAGGTTCGTGGATGTCATCATTAGTCCGACTTCCCTCTCAGTTCTCAGCCCGTCAGCGTCCGACTCCTCTCTGAACGACTCCCATTCACACATTAATTGAGCTGCGTGCAGCTGTGACGGCTTCAATGACACACCGTCCTCAGTGGGAATGAGCTTTGTCCTCCTGAGTGGACGTGAAGTGTGGCGTGGACGACGCTCCACTTTAATGAAACCTATTGTCAGACTTGTTATTTATGTGATTTTATTGTTAAAATATCCTTCAACCTTACCTTAAAAAAACAAAAAACATGGTTGAAACAGACAGTTTTTAGCCGTTGTAAATGACAAAATGTGTTTGTTTTGTGTTTTGTTCTGTGTTCCGTTTGTGCGGTACATTTTATAATTGCTGTACATGCATCTTGTACAAATAAAACAAAATACATTTGTGTTTTGTGACCACCTCACACAGACTAATTGTGTTTCCTTGTGTTCTCTCCTAACTCTAAGTCTATTAAACACACACACATATATATATATATAT